TTTATATCAGGAGGACTAAAATAAGCCAGGGATGGTTCTTCGTATTAATCTGAAATTTAGATTTAGTCCAGGTACCCGATTTGTTTTAAAAAAATCTATCATGGATGCTTAGAGTTTGTTTTATTAACAGAAAACAGATCTTTAACTCTATTTCAACCTTTAAAATGAATTTTAATCTCATCTCATAGCATGGGCAGTCCATTATGAAATTGATTTCTGTTTGTATTTTATACACCTGATTAGAGGATATACTCTAATTTCTTCTTTTAAAAAGAAACTACTGAAAGCTACGAAAAGGAAAGAAATATAATTTTTTAAAAATCTTGGATAAATAAACCAGGGATAAAAGAAAAAAATCGACAACCTGGGGGGACGGGGGTTTAAACTTAGTATTGAATAAAAAAATTAAAATAAATGTCAATGGGAAGCAAAATCAGAGACCCTTATCAATAGATTTTAATAATGATTAGAAGCTCTGAGTATTAGAAAGTAAGACGAAGCAGAAAGGAAATAAACGTGAACTGGAAGGGGAAAAAATCTATTTGGAGTTAAAGGACGTTTTAAAATTAACATCATATCGGCTATGATTCAGCAAAATGCTTAGTCACGTGCTTAAATCCCACTAATGCTAGTGGAATTTTTCAAGTGCTTTGATGAATCAGGTCCATTATGCCTCAAGCATTTTAATTAATAATAAACATTAAAAAGAAAGTGATGGCCAAGCTAAGAATAACACGGAAAACATCAATTCTAGTATAACTTTAGTTTCATAGTATAGGCTGAAAAATAGTTTCAGAGCTTGGCTTACAGAAGGAAGTTTGACAAAGAAAACATTGTACAAAAAAGTAATTTACTTCTTCATAACTTTCCAGTGCCCCTTTGCTGTTGCTGGAGTGACATCTGTCAGAGTGACAGAATACTCCATTGCCGATTAGCCTTTCCTTCAGACAGACTGTGCAGTGAGGTTACTGGACTGGATCGCCACTTTCACAGGACTTTTATGCCAGTGTAACTCCACTGGAATCCATTGAGTTACACCAGCATAAACTAATACAACAGAGTGGAGAATCAAGCCCATCATGCTGTATGTATAACATCAGAGTCTGTTGCCATAGAAATCACTGTAGCATGACAATATAGCACAAACACCCAATGATAGGCCTGATTCTATAAGACCCTCAGAACTTCCTGAGAAATATAGAACTGAAGAACAATCATCTAGTTCATTTTCTCAAAAGCGGGGAAACTAGACACAGGAAAGAATTATGATCAGTATTTAAAACTGAGAATTTATTTAACTTCCCACCCTTATTATAGACCACGCTGGTGCTATCTCCAGAATAAGAGTTAATTGCCTTTCCCCTGACTTAATCAAAGCCTTTGTCTATGCCATCCTTTTTTCTCAAAAATATCCCACTGTGGCCACACTACCAGTTCAGCTCCCAAGTGGTCGCACCAGTTTAAAAACTACTGTCTGGCACACAAGGGATCGAACCGGGCATCTCTGGAGCCAAAAGGATAAGCAGCTACAGCTTGAGAGAAAATGGCAAACCTGTCTAAGTGGGGCTGTAGCAGCCTCATAGTTCTAGGGATTGGGCACAGAAGAGAACCTGTAACATACACTAGTGGGTTACACAGACAAGTCACTGGAGGCCACTAGCATTTTTAGCACCATGTCACCTAGACTTGCTCTGAGCAAGGTTAGACAAAATGGTGACAAGAACACATGGTCACGGAAGCCTTAAAAAACTAGTGCTCTCCCCAGTACTGAAATTGCAGCTGAACCAGTGATAACAACAGTGAGAAGTAGGGGGAGGGGGAAGGGGAAGGCCAATGCAGACATAGCCAATGGGAAGGTGCTAAGAGAAGCTACAAGATTGTGAGGTATTAGAAAAACAGAGAGGTATGTAGTATACAACATAGAAAAGGGAATACACTTAGAATAAGATTGAAAAGAGGGCAGGTGATATGAAGTCTGGTTGTCTAACATAATACAGCAATATTTGTGATCTCATATGTTTGATTCGTAATTTAGTTGTATACTTGGAAACTTAGTTCAAAATGCTGGTTTTGATCTGAACATAACTCAGCACAAATCTTACTCTTTAAAAAGTCTCTCCTTTTTTTCTTAATTTCACAGGGAAACCATCTATTGCCCCAAACACTACACTGACTTCAGTGGAACTACGCACGGGCTTAAAGTTAAATGTGCTTAAGTGTTTGCAGGATTGGGGCCAAGATCTGTACAACTGTACAGATCCTGAAATAACAGGGCTGAGCTCAATGCCAGAAGTCCAAAGAATGAAGAAGAAAGAAGCTCCACAGGCTTCTGAAGTTACAGAGTTTCATAGCTATTTTCAAGAAAAGCTCCTAAATATCCAGAAGAGAATGTAAATCTTGTTTAAAGGAAACTATAAGTCCAATTTAACTACGTACTTGACCTGTACATTGTACTGAATTACTAATAATCAGATAGAGATTCTTTTGCAATACCTGGATTCAGTGTACCTAGCAGTATGAAACAAAAGACTGATCAGCTGCTGCTTTATAAGTCTAACTTATAGAGGTTTCCAAAGACACAGGTGAAAGTACCTAGAGGTTTAACCAAATAAGTTAATACTAAAATCCATATCTTGGTTGCTAGCCAGAATGTAAATATCCCTCACAGGCTCACCATAAGCAGAAGAAAGTTGATCACATCTTTCTAATATTATGTAGTTCATTCTTAGTTTAACAGCGTTCACCTTTTCACCTACTCTTTTACCCATGTTTCATCTTTAAACATTTAAGAAAATAACGTACTGCCAGATTAAGAGTACTGGACACAGAAGACCTCTATTTGTACCAAATAAATACATCAGAAATAGCATAGGCTTCCTTATTGTTATTCCAGCATTTCTCAACCTATTCTGGAGGGCAATAAAGTAACCCATTTCTGTTCCTTGCTTCTCTCTTGAGACAACCAACAAAGGTGCTAGTTAGTGCTAGCTGTAATCATGGCACTGTTTGTGACATGGACATCTATGTACTAGATTGCTGTGTCACTGGACTGGCTGTAAATTAAACTAATAACAATTTTGATTCCCCCACCAGTGCACAAGAACTATCAGGTATAAATCTAAAACTATTATATAAATAGATCCATATTATTATTATCATTATTTACCAGGCCCACCGAAAGCAATTCTGGACCCCAGGGCAGAACAGTTAATGGGCCCCTAGAAAGGGATGGCTGAGGTTTACGACACTACATTTTATCCTATTGATAACACATTAGAACCCACTATACGAAAGTTGTGGCTTTGCTTGATGTAGTTAACTTTTTTTTCCCTGTTACAGCACCAGTATTAAACAAATTGTGAGCCAAAATATAAGATGTAGAATTTGTTATTTTGAAGGATATATTTAAATTAAATAAATACATTATGGAATGAACATGGAGAGAGTCCAGCAGAGGGCAACGAAAATGATTAGGGGACTGGGACATGTGACTTATGAGGGGAGGCTGAGGGAATTGGGCTTATTTAGTCTGCAGAAGAAAAGAATTGGGGGGGAATTTGATAGCAGCCTTCAACTACATGAAGGGGGGTTCCAAAGAGGATGGAGCTAGGCTGTTCTCAGTGGTGGCAGATGACAGAACAAGGAGCAATGGTCTCAAGTTGCAGTGGGGGAAGTATAGGTTAGATATTAGGAAAACCTATTTCACTAGGAGGGTGGTGAAGCACTGGACTGGGTTACCTAGGGAGGTGGTGGAATCTCCATTCTTAGAGGCTTTTGAGGCCTGGCTTGACAGAGCCCTGGCTGGGATGATTTAGTTGGGGTTGGCCCTGCTCTGAGCAGGGGGTTGGACTGGCTGAAACCCCCAGGTTGAGAAACACTGATCTAGATGAGTTGAAGCACCCCCCTGGAAGACCTCTGCATAACCTAAATTTGGGCATAGTCAGTTCTCAGAAAAGAAGACAGAGGGGACACCTGATAAGTGTTCAGATATATTAAGGACTGTTATAAAGAGGACTGATCAGTTGTTCCTCATGTCCACTGAATGTAGGACAAGAAGTAATGGGCTTAATCTGCAGCAAGGAAAATCTAGGTTAGATATTAGGAAAACTTGTCCAACTATACAGGTAGTTAAGTTTTGGAGTAGGCTTCCAAGTGTTCCATCATTTCTTTTAAGAACGGGTTGGACAAAGACTTGTCTAGGGTGGTCTAGGTTTACTTGGCATGGCCTCAGTGCAGGGGACAGGACTTGATAACTTCGCAAGGTCGCTTCCAGCTCTATATTTCTATGAATCTGATTCCTAGCCATCACCGCTCTTGAGGCAGAGATCCACATCTCTCTCCCTTCAGACCAGAAGTTTAGGCTTGCAGTCCCTCTGCACCTCACTGCAATTTTCCAGCAGGTCTGATCAGTGTCCAGCACCTTTGGTTAACTCTTTGTCCAGGGACTATAATGATGTACACCAGTTACCAATTAGTCCTCACAATGCAAACTGCATTTATTCTTAGGGCAAAAGCAGTTCAGAGAAAAGATATAAAAAACTATAAAAGACCCTAAATGCATGCTAAAAGATTATCAGAGGTCACCCACAAGACCAATATAGGGCTCTGGTAGGAATCAGTCTTTCATACCACAGAACTGGGTTTGCCCCTTTGGTTACAAGTTCCTTTCTGTTCTTAGATCAGGAACCAGACCCCAGCTAGGGCCTTTTATCTCCAGTCTCTGGGAACAGGTAATCATCGACCAATGACCCTCTCCACAGGGCACAGCATCAAAAGACTGGGGTTTTGCATAACTTCAGTCGTATTATTTACATTAATCACTTCCCAGGCATTCCCCAGGAAAGCCAGATAACACTTTTTGTCCCAAAAGTCCGTGCCTGCCTGGCACATTTCAATATAGTTGTTTGCACTCCTTAAACTTCCCAGGTCTCACCTGTCCCAGTGCCATCACTGATGGAATGGAAACACTTCAAATGAGAAATCTGTTTGTTTCACCTTACCCTTTGACCTTGAGTTCCATCCCGTCCTGGTGGTCCTGATGCTCCTGGGACACCCTATGAATGATAAGAGGGCAAAAGATCAGAGTGGCAGCAACCCCTACACTGTATAGTGCAACCCCCTTTATCTGACATGACATCAAAAGCCCTGGGATAAATGGGGCTTCAGATACTCAACAGGATGACTCATGGTAGGGCCATGTCTATGATTCAGGTGAGGTGGAGCTTCAGTGAAATAAATAGGGCTTATTAATATGCACATGCAATTAACCTTTTCCATTTTAATATCTTATTTAAAAGCAAATAATGTCTACAGATGCTTTGTATTACTCCAGTTTTATACCAGTGTAACTCCATTGAGGTAAATCAGATCCTTAAACTAAATCTTTATTTCCATCTCTCTCTCTTTCAGTTTTTGTAAAGGCATGAGTTACCATATTGTCTGAGCTCAGTGCAGTAATAGCAAAGGGGCAAACCCTTGATCAAGCATCCAGCCCAAATAAATGTGCTATGCCAGGCAGAGTTCCACAGAGTTCAGATGAAATCCTCCCACTCCTTCCACTGGCTGCCTAAAGGCACTGGCATTGATCCCAGACCATTACTGCAACCACAGGCATAAAAAACAATCCAGAAGGCTGGAGAGATTGATTTATGAGAAAAGATTATGAGAGCTAAGTATCTAGCAAGACTAGAAGTTGGGGAACCTGGTAATAGCAGACAAATATCTGAAGTGTGTAGACATCAAGGAGGGAAATGATTTATCTTGGTTGGTTGGTACAAGAGATTATAAGCAGGAGTAATATGATAAAACTAAGAAATGAAAAATTGAGGCTACATATCAGGAAAACTGACTTCAGCAAGAGTTGTGGGCGCTCAGCAGCCCTCAGCATTTTGCAAGATGGTCATAAGAACATAAGAACAGCCAGACTGGGTCAGACCAAGGGCCCATCTAGCCCGGTATCCTGTCTTCTGACAGTGGCCAATGCCACATGTCCAAGAGGGAACTGACAGAACAGATAATCACCAAGTGATCCATTCCCAGCTTCTGGCAAACAGAGGCTAGGGACACCATCCCTGTCCACCCTGGCTAATAGCCATTGATGGACCTATCCTCCATGAATTTATCTAACTCTTTTTTGAGCCCTGTTATAGTCTTGGCCTTCACAACATCCTCCGGCAAGGAGTTCCACAGGTTTACTGTGCATTGTGTGAAGAAATACTTCCTTTTGTTTGTTTTAAACCTGCTGCCTATTAATTTCATTTGGTGACCCCTAGTTCTTGTGTTATGAGAAGGAGTAAATAACACTTCCTTATTTACTTTCTCCACACTGGTCATGATTTTATAGACCTCAGTCATATCCCCCCCTTAGTCGTCTCTTTTCCAAACTGAAAAGTCCCAGTCTTATTCATCTCGCCTCATACGGAAGTCGAGAAAAATTGAGTGCCTGATTTGTAAATGGCAATTAAAAGAGCCTCCCTTAGTAATCATAACAACTGCAATATGCAGGACTGTGGTGGTCAGCAGCGTGCAGGATAGAGTGAATGGATTTGCAGCAATGGGGTTCCTGAACAGTGGTGGGGTGACAGACAGCATGCATATTCCTATTTTGGCATCAGTCCCCCTTGCAACAGGGTACATCGAGAGAGGACTACTTTTTCTATGGTTATGCAAGCGTTGATGGGTAACTGGGCATGCTCCATCAATTTCAACATGGACTGGTCAGGGAAGGTACAGATGCATACATCTTTAAGAGCATAGGAGTGAGGTTTTTAAGGCCCGGCTTGACAAAGCCCTGGCTGGGATGATTAAGTTGGGGTTGGTCCTGCTTTGAGCAGGGGGTTGGACTAGATGACCTCCTGAGGTCCCTTCCAACCCTAATCTTCTATGATGCTATTACAGGTTCCCATGGGGATATGTAGATATCCACCTACCAGAGTTCTGCAAATCAGGTAGTCAGATAGCTTGCTCACAGTTGCTCTCATAAAATTGCACCTCAGATTACTTGTGGGTACAAAAAGAGAGGCTGGCTCTTCAAAGTCAGGCCCTAAGTGATTTGCCCACGGGCACACAACCAATCAGTGACAGGGCCACAATCAGATCTCAGAGGTTACTGATTCTAAATCCCTTGCAGATTCAGCTGCACCACAGTGCTCCTCAATATCTTTGAATATCTGCTCTGCCCAACACAAGGATGGCAATTCCACATTCAGATAGGTCTACTAAATGCTACATTAAAGCAATAATATAGGGAATACCTGCTGGCCAGGGAGACCACGATCACCCTTCTCTCCTTTTTCACCTGGTGTTCCCTGGAGATCAATAATCACACATAGTTAAACAGATAAATTGCTGGATGCCTCCTATTTTCAATTGTTCTTTTCAAAACAATGTGAAAAAAATTAACTACAGATTCATTTTTCCTATTAAAGAATATCCAAAAATTGTATCTGCAGTACTGGTTTGCAAAAATGTAAATTAAATCTTTAGAGATATGGAAAATAAAGAAAAGGAAACTCTGATTCAAAAATGACTGTCAAATTATTGTTTAACAAAACCTTTAACAAAATGGAAACTAGGGCTGCCAAACCATTAAAAAAATTAATCACGATTAATCATGTGACTAAAAAAATTAATCACGATTCATTGCACGATTAATCGCACTGTTAAGCAATAATAGAATGCCATTTATTTAAATATTTTTGGATGTTTTCTACATTTTCAAATATATTGATTTCCACTACAATGCAGAACACAAAGAGTACAGGGATCACTTTATTTTTATTACATATATTTGTGTTGTAAAAAAACAAAAAAAAATAGTATTTTTCAATTCACCTCATTCAAATACTGTAGTGCAATCTCTTTATCATGAAAGTTGAATTTACAAATGTAGAATTATGTACAAAAAATAACTGTATTCAAAAATAAAAATGTAAAACTTGAGAGGCTACAAGTCCACTATTTCTTGTTCAGCCAATCACTCAGACAAACAAATTTGTTTACATTTGCTGGAGATAATGCTGCCCACTTCTAGTTTATGTCACCTAAAAGTGAGAACAGGCATTTGCATGGCATTGTTGTAGCCGGCGTCACAAGATATTTACATGCTGGATGTGCTAAAGATTCATATGTCCCTTCATGCTTCAACCATCATTCCAGAGGACATATGTCCATGCTGATGACGAGTTCTGCTCGATAATGATCCAAAGCAGTGCAGACCAATGCATGTTTACTCAACATCTGAGTCAGATGCCACCAACAGAAGGTTGATTTTCTTTCTTAGTGGTTCGGGTTCTGTAGTTTCTGCATCAGAGTATTGCTCTTTTAAGACTTCTGAAAGCATGCTCCACAGCTTGTCCCTCTCAGATTTTGGAAGGCACTTCAGATTCTTAAACCTTGGGTCAAGTACTGCAGCTATCTTTAGAAATCTCACATTGGTACCTTCTTTGCATTTTGTCAAATCTGCAGTGAAAGTGTTCTTAAAATGAACAACATGTGCTGGGTCATCATCCAAGACTACTATAACATGAAATGTATGGCAGAATGCGGGTAAAATAGAGCAGGAGACATACTATTCTCCCCACAAGGAACTTCGTCAAAATTTAATTTAACGCATTATTTTTTTAATGAGTGTCATCAGCATGGAAGCATGTCCTCTGGAATGGTGGCCGAAGCATGAAGGGGCATACAAATGTTTAGCATATCTGGCATGTAAATACCTTGCAATGCCGGCTACAAACATGTCATGTGAATGCCTGTTCTAACTTTCAGGTGACATTGTAAATAAGAAGCTGGCAGCATTATCTCCCATAAATGTAAACAAACTTGTTTGTGTTAGCAATTGGCCAAACAAGAAGTAGGACTGATTGGACTTGTAGGCGCTAGATAATTTTACATAGTTTTTTTGAAAGCAGTTATGTAACAAAAAAAATCTACATTTGTAAGTTGCACTATCATGATAAAGAGATTGCATTATGGTACTTGTATGAGGTGAATTGAAAAATACTATTTCTTTTATCATTTTTACAGTGTAAATATTTGTAATAAATATAAGATAAAGTGAGCACTGTACACTTTGTATTCTGTGTTGTAATTGAAATCAATATATTTGAAAATGTAGACAAACTTCCAGAAATATTTAATAAATTTAAATTGGTATTCTATTTTTGAACAGTGCGACTAAAAACATGATTAATCGCAATTAATTTTTTTGACTTAACTGCGATTAATCGAGAGCCCTAGTGGAAACACATTCTTTTCCCTGTGAGTGAATCTGCTTCTCTTTGACGCTCAGGGAAATGTCCTATAGAGATGAAATCAACAGAGTTCTATAGAAATTAAACAGGTTTCTATAGAATATACATGATTAATTACAAAGAATATCCTTTCTATAGGATGTTTTTAACCAGTCAATAAAATTCCACAGCAGGAATATAATTCTCTATTAAATGCTATAGAAAGGATTGGAAATTATTCTTACAGCCCATATATTCTTTATTATATTCTCTGCTAAAATAATCAAGAATATATAATACTCCTGGGAGAATTCTGTGCCAAAAAATTAGAAATTCTGGACACATTTTAAAATTCTGCATATTTTATTTGTCAAAATAACACAATATAATCACACCAGTTTCAATTATTTTGGTAATTTATTTCAAAATACCTGTCAGCAAGTATGTCTGTAACAACACAGACCAAAAAAAAAAAAATCAGGAAATGTTTTTTGACAAATAGATTCCTTACTAGGCATATTAATACAGAATTCTGAGCAATAATTCATTTAAACTACAGTACAGAACCATATTTCCCGCACTCCATACTCCCGAGAAGAAGTGCAAAGGCTTGGGGGAGTCAGGGATAATGGAGGAGCTGAGGGAGAGGGAAGTAATTGCTGGGAAGAAGCCTGGGTATGAACTTGAAGGGTTGTTGGGTATGGGTAGGAAAAGTATGGAACAGGTTATTTTGGGGGGCAGGGAGGGATTGTTAGGGAGCATCCCCCATGGAGACCTTGGCTGACCCCTAGCCTCTCCTATTCAGTCAGGCACATCTGCTCCTGTCCCCAGGTGTCCCTGTACCCCCATGTGTCCTTGCACCCCCATCTACATGTGTCCCTGCACCCCCACTCAGACACCCACTCCCCCCATCCCCATGTGTCCGTGCACCCCTCCCCTGTCCTCATGTGGCTCTGTGCCCCCACTCAGCCACCCCCCATGTGGCCCTACATCCCTCCCACATCCCCATGTGTTCCTGTACCCCCTCAACCAGCCCCCACCCTTCATCTCCATGTGTCCCTGCACCCCATCCCCATGTGTCTCTGTGCCCCCATTCAGCCATCTCCCTTCCCCCTGTCACTCTGCACCCCCCATGGCCCTGCACCCTCTCAGCCAGCCCTCTCCCCTCATCTTCATGTGTCTCTGTGCCCTCTGGCCCCATGTGTCTTTGTGCCCCCACTCAGCCATCCCTCTTCCCCCTGTAGCTCTGCAACCCCTCCGCCCATGTGACCCTGTGCCTCCACTCCCATTCAGCCCCTGTCCCAGTCTGGCTTCACCTATGAGCCCCTATCTGATCCCCCAGCAGCCCCACGCTGTCTGTCTCCCCATATCCCCTATCTCCTGACCTGGCCCAAAAGGCGCTGTGAAGAAGGCAGGTTCTTTCTCTTTCCCTATCATGGCTGGTGTTTGCCAGGAGCAGCTGCTCTGTTCTAGCACCACAGCACCCTCTGGTGAGCTAAAGGTGGAACTGCAACAACTTTTCAGCAGAAGCTATTTTCTGCAAAAAAAACCAAAACTGTGCGGCACGTGAAATATGTGTGCGCGCAGTGGTGCAGAATTCCCCCAGGAGTAAATATAAGTCTGTGAAAGGGAACACTCATTGCCAATGCCACCAAGTGGTCAGGCAGGGCTGTGGCAGGCTTTTTTCTTTTTATGGCCACTCTGGCTCTGCAAAGATCTGCCCCTTCAATAACTCAGCCCTCTGGCCAGGTCACACATTCAAGTCCAACCCTTTCAGGGTATATGTAGAGGGTCCAATAACAGGGTAGATTTCTGGATTAGGCAAGGGATTGGCTTCCCCTTAACTTGGGGCCTCATGGTTCAGACCTTCTATCTTCAGGGATCTCCCTCAGCTAGATTCCCCATTCCAGGGAGAGGCTTCTAGAGCTGGCCCCTCCTTAGGGGCAGGTAGGGGAACCTGGGCTGACCCTCTCCAATGGGTCTCTAACCTTCACTGAGTCACAAATCCCTCCTTTGCTGGCTTGGCAAGGTCATTACAGCCAGCTTTCAGGCTCCTGCAGTGCACTTTCCCAGGAGATCAGAGCCCACCTCAGCGGTCTGCAAGCTACTGAGCTACTCTGCTCCCCTGTAAGCTCCTCATCTAGCCTGTGCAAGCTTTACAGGTGCAGCGGGGAGAAACATCTGGGCCCAAGGCAATTCTGTAGTCCCTTCCCTTCCAGTGTGGGGTTTGTACAGCCCATGACAAGGTGTTAAGAATAATTTCTATTGAAACCTGTTTAATTATATTACTGTTTTGAATCCTATAGGTTGGTTAAAAAATTCTGTAGAAAGAATACTGTACTCTATTAAATTTGTTTAGATTTTTCTACAAGGAAAAGGTGCTGGGTTGATAGTCCTTAAGGCCTGTGTATATCCATCCACACGACATTTATTATTGTATATTTTAATACATTATTATATATTATCTATTTTTATAAATAGATGTGCAGAATTCAATGTTTTTATAATTTCAACAGATAATATTGATGCTTAATTTTAAGCATTTTTTTGCTATTTACATTTTCACAGTTGCACAAAAATTATGGGTTTTAAGTTGCTTTTTTTCAATTTTTATCAATTAACATAGTCGCAGGAAATTATCAGAGGGCCAGACAATGGGGAGGTCAGACAATCATCATCATCTAATGAGAGTCAATGCTGAAATTCAAAAAGTTAAATCTTTTATAACCATTAAAACACAAATTGCCAACATCCCAAGTCAAAATGTAGGCAGTAAATATCCTTAAATCAAACTCTAATGAGTTCTCCAGCAGCATTTTTCTTACTTTGTCAGCCTGTAAATTTCAGTTATTATGGATGGAAATATTTTTTCATCAGTTTGTGTGTGTGCAGCAGCATTTACTGATATTTACTGATAAAAATCTAATCCTTCCAAGCCTATTTATAAGACAGCATGGGCATTGGAAGTGTAGGTTTTTTGCACTGCTGATGTGTCTCAACATTGGTATTGAGAAACCAGCCCTAAAATAGTATTTCTGGCTCTATGCCTATCAATTCACTCCCTGGCCTCTCTGATGAGGCTGCCAACAAGTGTACCAGTTCGTGCCAGTTAATTTAGGTGATTGAAGTGGTTTTGGTATGTGAACATCTCTCCACTAGGGACTGCACAAAGTCACAAAAAATCAAATAACCAAAAAAATACTATGTTCTAAGTGTTCCTGCCACACACTCCAGCTCGCAGCATTTTTAAAAACTTTTATCTAGATTTGGGTCTGACCCAAACACCTGTGGTCCAAACTGTCTCAAGGTTTAGTGAACTTCGGATCCCAATACATATCTGACTGTTGGAGCTGGCTCCTATGCCGATCGCAGGTTAAACCCAAATCCATGATCCAGACACCTCAGATTTTGGTGAATTTCAGATCTGGATCTGGACTTTGTATCTCAGTCCTAGCTCTAGTTTTATCTAACCTTTTGGTACAACCTAATGTACGGGTTCTGGCAAACTTCTGTGACAAAATTAAGACCACAGTTGTTCATTTAGGACTTACTGGAAGCCCTTGAATAGAAAGTCCACTTGGCCCTTGGGGTCCTGGATGCCCTTGGGGTCCTGGAGCACCAACTTCACCACGAGGTCCATCTAGGCCCTATGACACCAAAAGGGAAAACATAAAGGCCACAAGTTTAACTCCTACTGTACATAAGAAGGAAGTGTCTGTGTGCAGAATTAAATACCAATAGATTCAACAGCACCTAAAATATGAGTTAACGTGCTGACAGGACAATAAGGCTCCTATTTACAAAGGCCTGATTCCTTTAGGCATGCAAAAAGCCACAAATATATGCTGACAGCAGCAGCACTATGCATTTTACTGCCCCTGACCCAGAAACAAACATGATGTGTAGCCAGTGTGATCCAGGAGACCTGGACGCTGTTCACCCAACAAGCACCAATGGCATCTGGCTACACCCTTTCCTCAAGAACATCAGAGAAGTGAGCTGTAGCCCATGAAAGCTTATGCTCAAATAAACTGGTTAGTCTCTAAGGTGCCACAAGTCCTCCTTTTCTTTTTGCGAATACAGACTAACATGGCTGCTACTCTGAAACCATTCTAGATTTAAGCTCATTCAAAAAAAAGAAAAAACTCTAGATTTAGACACAAACAGACAAAAGCCAAAATAAGGGAGTATGTTACAACGGTTTAGTGGTGGCAGATTACCTTTGGACCTTGATCACCATGATGTCCCTTTGGGCCTCTGACACCTGGACCACCCTGTAAAGCACACGATTAGTGTTAGCAGAAAAGTGAATCCCACCAAAAAAAAACAAGTTCTTTCTTCTTCCTGAATCATATTGATTATTCTATTCTTGTAGGCCCCAATTCAGGAAAGCAACCCTACTCAGGGAACTACCTAGGTGTGTGCTTAAGTCCTACGAATTCATTGGGGTTTAAAGCATACGCTTAATAGCAGTCCTATGTAGGGATGGACTTGAGCTCAGGAAAGTACGTAAGCCTGTACCAGTGCATTATAATGCACTAGCCTATAATGCACTAGGATCAAAATGTTGCTGCAGGCAGTGACCCATCTGGATACACAGGTCAGCTTTTTTTCTTATTGTTAAAATGCTCTCCACATCTGCTCTTTCCAATATCATCACACTGGTAAAGGCAGACTTTCCAATGATTCTAGTAACATTTTTATCAGATAAAACCCCCGAGAGACCCATTGTGTTTGCTATGGTTTAATTTCAGAGCCATTCAATTTCTCGCTCCCCATTTCTCCTTTTTTGCTTTCTTCACGGATGCCTGAATCTTTTAATCATTTGTTAACCAATTGCAGTCTAAACCTTTTGTTAACAGTATCGTATGGGACACTGGAATTGTGCATTTCTAAGGATGACTGCCTTGAATATGTTTCTGATATACATGCAAGACGTGTCTTGCCCTCTTGGATGATTTTAAAGAAATATTTATTTTTACTTTTTTATATTCTTGTAATAAAATATTCACTGATTGTCTCTCTCTACCCCACCCTTGGGATAATGTTTATCTTTTTACAGTGTGAGCATTTCAGGGCCGGGCCAACCTCCGTGTCTGTAAAGAATCTAGTACAATTAGACATCATTCCTCCCCAGGGTGTGGGGAGGTGCTACAAAATATCAAATAGATAATAAAACAATATAGCAAATGGGACTACTAAGAAGATATTGGCTTACAAGCCAAGCCAAGTAATGTTCACTTTGAGGGGCAAGAAATCAGTGTTCTTTGACACACAAAGTCAATATATGCTTTATGACATATCAAAATTATATTACAGGTATGTTAAGCTTGCAAAATCAAGCACTCGTAAATTAAGAAATGCTAGAATTAAAGCTGTCTGTGCAACTTTACTTCCACTTCCTTGTGTGTATACACCACAAACATCTTTAATTACATGATCACATACTATTTTCCCACCCTCATCCTCCTTTGTTTCATGTCTCCCCAGTTCCACTCCCTCATCAGGTCCACATCCCAGTAACTGCCTTTCCACCCCCTCCCTGGCTCCTCATCCTGATCTTGTCCAGCTATTTGCCTGCTGCCCCCCTCTCTAACCAGGCTGGCTTCTCATAACCTGCCCTTCCATCAGGCTGCCTTCTCCTCCATGCTGTTTAGGCACTAGCCGGTAAGGGACTGAAAGCACAGGAGAGAGAGTCTCTCTGCTCTCAGTTCCTGTACCCAGTGCCACAGTGGCTTCCAGAAGGAGCAATTGCATGGATAGTCCTGGTCAGCCTCTAAAGCCTGGGGATGGGGCATACTCAGCCCAGATGAAATCTTCAGGAATTTCACTGAAATTCTAAAAATTCTAAAGAGCTTGTGTGAACTGAGATTTTCAGAGGCTCATAATTAGGTCAAATTTGGGTGAATTTTCACAGGAACAGCAAAAGACATATCCCTGACAGCAGGGCAACACTCTTATCCAATTTCAAGTCCTTGCTCTAAAGAATGGAGATGCTAGAACCTCTCAATGAAACAACCGTAAGAATTTTTTTAAACATAGTCAAAACAACATGCTTTTCCCTAGTCTCATTCTGAGAAACAGATGACATTTTTTGGATAAAACTTAAAAAAAACAAAAAACAAAAACAGCCTGAAGCAGACACATATTTATAGATTTTGTGGCCAGAAGGGACCATTGGATCTACTCTGATCTCCTATGTAACACAGGCCATAAAAATGTCACTCAGTTATCCCTGTTTTGAGCCCAAGCACTTGTGTTTGAGACTAAAGCGTATCTTCCAGAAAAGCACCCACTTTTGATAAGAAGACATCAAGAGCGGAAGAATCCAGCATATCTTTTGGTAGATTGATTATTTGAACAATCACCCTCACAGATAAAAATTTTTGCCTAATTTCTAATTTGAATTTGTCTAGCTTCTGCGTTAAGGCCGTTGGTACCTGTTATGCCTTTCTCTGCTAGATTAAAGATCCCTTTAGTAGTCAGCGTTTTCTCTCCATGGAAGTATTATCCACTGTAATCAAATCATCTCTCAGTCACAGCCGGTTCTAGGGCGGATGAGCACAGCTGTCACCCTAAGTGCCAACTTCCAGGGGGCACTGAACTGCTGCTGTGATTGGCTGGCCTTTTTTTTTTTTTTTTTGGCTCAGCCGCCTGGGGCCGGGGAGGCCAAAAACATTTATGCTCCTGTTCTGAAGCCTCTTTTTAATAGACTAAACAGACTGAGCTCTTTAGCCTCTCATCGCAAGGCATTTGCTCCAACCCTCAAACATTTTTCAGGCTCTTTTCTGCACCATCTCCAATTTTTCAACATCTTTTACAATGTAGGCACCAGAACTGGATGCAGTATCCCAGTATAGATTTCACCTGGCATGGAAAATTTCAGTCCAAATGGTTAGTCTGGCAAAGTTACAAGCAACTGTAAACATGGAAAGCGTCAGGTAACCTGAATTAAAGGCATCACTACATGTGCTGCCTATAAATTACATACTTTCTAAAGGTTTTCATGAGAAATATCCTGAAATTTCATCATAAATGGTTGTGGATAAGTATAAAAAATTTTTAAAGGTCTTTTTTTGAAGCTGATCTTTGAAACTAGTTGCACATAAGAAAAAAAAACCTTGGCTTTAAAAAGAAAAATTCACAAGATGAGACAGGAAGTTTCTCTTCTTTATTTCCCTGAAACAATGTTGAACCAGACAGCTAGCACATGTGAATTTCTGATTCTTAATTAGGTTATAATAGTTTTGTGTTGTTTTTTTATTTAGGCCACTAACTTCTTCCAGAGATTCATGAATCCTACCTGACAGGCTGACAAAAAATATATCTACCTCATAACTGGCCAAAGCCTACAATGATATGAGTCCAGTGCAGTTATTCTTATGCTTTATTTTGGGTGTAGCTACCAAGTAACTCTGCTACTGAACTGTATTATCTATTATGGTTAAGAAGAGCAAATAATTTTATTGGAAAATTAGGTTTTTGTGATCCCAGATATCCATATATTTTCTATGTAGTATTAACAACAGATACCCTTCTAATCAAACCTAAATTTATACAAAGGATGCCATGGGAAACATTTTTCATACTGAAAGAATTGATAAAAATTAAGCAGATTTACTTGCATTTTCACTTTCCTGATTATCCAGATGCCTTTTTTCTAGGACACTAATTTAATTCATATACATAGGAAATTAAACTTCAAAACACAGTTGATTGCTGTCTAAATTAAAACAAGACAATGGAATCGTTTTTCCATTGCAGCCGGATATATTTTTTGTTTGAGTGAGATCTGTTATCTCCAGTGCAATATTCACATAAAAAAAAGGCTCCCTGAGAGCTCTTCTTCAAGTCTGCACAGCTATGACTTGAGGGGTTTAAAGCTTTCACGAATGAGATCTTTACTAAATTTAAGTCTCTTTTTTTCCCTGTATGTCTTAAGATTTTTTCTTCTTTATGTATGAAGTGGTTAGGGGCCCAACTTCAACAGATGATTAAATAAATAATTTGCCTCTGGAAAAATTGAGAGAGATCACTAGAAGTATTTAAAAACAGATTATACATCAGGAGAAACAAAGTAAATTAAAATCATACTCCAGGCAAAACTGTTTGGATTAGATGATCCAGGAGGTCTTTTCCAGCCTATCATCTATGATTCTATAAAGAGCTGTGTGTGTTTTTTAAAGTTATGTACACCCTGAGGAGACAGAAGTATTCAATACTATAAAAGAAAATGTACTTAATCAATAAGAGCATTAAAACTTTATTATACACCTTATTATTTGTATTTTCTTAGCTCTTTAGTGTATAACAACAATTTGCTGTTTCACAATGTTCTATTTTATTAATTTATATAGTGCCCATTTTTTCCACATTTCAGTATTGTGATATAAAATGTCAGAAATAGTCAAAGAAAACATAATGCTACCTACAATGGGCAGCACTGTGATCACCAACAATACAGCAATAAAGAACCCATCAAACACAAAGAAACGTAAAAAGGGGTTACCCACCATGTAGTAACTTGTGTTCTTTGTGATGTGTTGTCCCTATGTATAGGGCACTTCAGGTTGCACGTGTTTTATGTGCTCACAACTGGAGATTTTTCCCTAGCAGTGTCCATGTGGTCCAAGCATGTGCTTCCACTCTGCTTGTACTCTGCACTGAGGGAAATAAAGGGGGCAACCTTCTCAATCAGTAGTTCCCAGTAAGAGGAAACCAGACAGTAGGGAAGGAGGGTGGATAGTACACTACACATAGGAACAACACATCTTGAACTCAAGTTACTATCAGGTAACTCCTCCTCCTTCTTGCTCAAGCAATTGTCCCTCTATATAGTGCATTTCAGGTGAATCACAAACATTGTCTTTATCAGGAAGCAGGGGCGCTGGAATACTATGATACAACAGATTGAAGCACTATCCTGCCCAGAGAGGCTCCAGAAGCAGCTGCTTGCATCAGTGCATCGCATTCAGCAAAAGTGTGAGCAGAATTCCAAGCTGCTGACATCTGTGGAGCAGCAATAGGAATGTCTCTAAGGGAAGCTACCAAAGCTGCCTGAACCAGGGGTGGCAGGTTTGTATAATCTTTGGTGGTGCCCAGAATGGGTCCAAGTCCCCCCCACACCCACCTGCCTAAGGCTCTGGAAGGGAGTTTGGGTGCGGGAGGGGTGCGGGCTCTGGGATGGACTTTGGGTGCAGGCTCTGGGCTGGGGCAGGGGTGCAGGAGGGGGTGCAGGCTCTGGGAAGGAGTTTGGGTGCAGGAGGGGGTTTGG